TCATCACGTCGGTTTGAGATCGGGAGGGAAATGAAAACGGGCATAGAGGTGAAAAATAATATAATAAAAAGGTCGCCAGCGTAGGAACGTTCGTCGCGTCAATCCATACGACGACGGCGAAACATGATGAAAAGTTTTTGTTTTTTTACCTATGTGTTTGTCTTCGATGTGCTGAATGAGATCGTAAAGGTTTTTGAAGCATAGACCGCAGTTGTTGAATTTACATTCATTTAACAGGAATACGGCCATTTATATCCAGCAGCTGAACGAAAGTCACAAGGGTCTCTGGGTGTTAACAGAGCTGCGTGATTATCAGCTGATCGCGACTAGCCGACTGCACGCGCGGTCCCCCCGCCCACCAAAGAATCACGAACGGCAGCTGTTTTTCAATGTGGCTCTACCCGTCTGCCGTGTAAAGTGTGAAACGCCCGAACTGTCGAGCACTATGCAGCGGTCGTCGATCGTCCTCCACGCCAAAGTTTTGTTGAAGTCTGTATTTTCATGGCAAAATTGTATTTTCTGTTAGAAAATCGTTGCCGTTAGTACGGATGGGTCGATGATCATCTTTGAGCGTCCATGGTTAATTGTCTAGCAGTGGAACTCACTTTTCAAGACAAAAACCCAATACTATTACAGCGAAAATTATTTATTTTTTTCGCGTAAACGAAAATCGTTCTAGGTCGAGATGTAGAACTACCGTAACCGCGGTGGCGTTTCGCACTTTGGGTCTCACTGGTGGTCGTTGTGACCTCAACCGATACACTGCTGAAATGTGTACCGCAACCGCTGTCCCGCGTAGTCGGTGGGGACTGTGCTACTATGAGTGTGCTGTAGCGGTGGCGGTCGAATCGAATGTCTATTATATCTAGTACCTACTAAACTAATTATTTTTAATTTTTATTATTATTGCTATTTGCCAACGCGTTTTTATAGTTACATAAGTTACATTATTTTAGTTATGTTATTTTTAAACTGCGGATATAATGATGTTGTACTATACAGATTTATGTTATTTGTCCAATCGATATGTGATTACAAGTTTTTGAAATTTCTTTAATCGTTTAACATTTAAGTGTATATCATAGACATAACCTTGATACTCAATTAAATTATTAAATATTTCTATCATTAGTGACTAATAACTTTAGATAAAGTTATACAGCTTAGGAATAATATCAAATATCAATGATATTTGTACAAATAATTTAGATTTTAGGCATATTTAATTATTTAGATTAAAACTTACAACATTATAATATATACGTTCGTACGTTGTGCGTTTAGGTTCGTCTTATCTCAATGTTTAATATGATGTTTCTGGCAACATGAACTGTGACCCGTTTTATTTCATTTTTATCAATTTATTATATTACAGGCATGTTTTTGAAGTATACTGTAGATAACTTATTAAGGTGCCTACTTGTACAACTTTATCTCAGTACAGCTGACGTTATAATGTATTAAGTTAAGTGCAAATTAAAATTATTAATAGCCCATCGAAGTTGTGCATTTTTCTATACTTATAAAATTATTAAATTTAAAATTTATATTGTTTTAAGAAGTATTAACATGAGTACCTATATCATTAATTTACAAAAATCAAAAATATTATCTAATGTATTTACGTACTTATAATGTAACTATTGGTTTCAGAACTTATTACCTAGCTCAACTTTTTTTATTTGTTTTAAAAATTTTAAATCGGTTTTGTTGATATAATTGTAAATTTAAATAGTAAATATTGATGAGTGTATAAAAAATCAATTTTTATTATTTTTTGAAATTTTAAAATATAAAATAGGTAATTAAAAAAAGCTACTATGAATGTGTCATAGTATTCCATTATAAATTTATAACACAAATATTTAAAAAATATGTATACTATACATTATATATAAATACTAATGTATTGTTGTTTATAAATAATAATGTTCTTACCTACTATTTTTTTTGTAGTTATTGCAATGGTACTATACGGTATTTACGTTTATACATGGTGTCCATGGTGATTCGCCGAGTATGATGTTCAACCCCATTTTTTTCGTTTAAAAATGAATTTATTAAAATTTTGATTCTTGGAATTTTAAATATACACCTACTTAAAGCTTATATTTCTAATTCATGAGATGTCTTGTACAGTACACTATTTAAAAGTGTTCAATTGTAATATAAATTTCTATTTCTCAGATGAGTACCTACACTATAAATTCTGAACGAAGTGATAAATGTTTTAATTTTACTATAAAAGATGTTAATTTATTTTTGTGCCTACATCACCTTTTGTATCAGTAAAAATGTTTCAATTATCAATTCTGAACGTGGTTTCTGGCAGCTAATTGATTATACTTGGTACGTAGGCCATGTAAGGAGTCAAAAGTTTCTAGTATTCATATACTCTTTAAAATATCCAAGAAACAAAAAAAAAAGTACGGACATTTTTATTGAGAGCAAATTGACATAAACTATTTTTTTAATGCTATTCAAAAACAAATAACTATATTATGCAGGTATTTTAAATTGTCCGCAAATGTGTTTATTAGTATTTTATAAATATTTAATTTAAAAAGCTATTACTTCATAAAAAACAAATTGCCATAGATACTTGAAATTTTATCAAATGTTAATATTATTGAATATTGGTTTTGCATAAAAATATCCGTTTTTCTTATTTTTTCCTCGGCTATTTTGAAAATAACTAGGATTTACTCCTAGAGATAATCTCCAAAGTTTAAAGTTAAACCATTTTTACTGTCTCAAAGATGATAACAAAAAAAAAAACAAAAACATTAATTTAATGTCATTATAATAATCACTCCAGTCAAAATCTAAAATATCTTGAAATATATAGGCATAGGCTGAATTGTTTTTACTAATGAGGACATGAAGTTCACTTGACATCTACTGTAAGCTTACAACTATTAAATAGTTTAAGACGTTTAAGTACATTTTAAAACTATCGGAACTCGTTTATGAATAAAATACTATAGTCTATAGAATTAACTGCTTGTTATGTATCTATAATAATTAATATTACATTCATACAATTTATAGTATGCAAAATATTACTTTTATATTACCCATAATTATTTGGCAACTATGTATCATTTAAAAAATGTACCTATACATGCAATTATGTAACGAACAAGTAGTATTTTATAAAATATACATATATTTCGGCGTACACAACTAAATGTGAGAAATACTTCAAAATGTATGTTATTAGTTTCTTACATTATCAATTGGTAACTTATCAATATAAAAATCTGTGTTTACTAGAAAAAAATGCTCCTGATTTAATTTTAAAAGTCATTCTTACTAGCTGTATGTTGTTCATTGCATTTAGCAAAATTTTGATGTATCGAATACAAATTAGTAATTCATTATTACGAGAATATAAAAATAATAATTTGATTTAGATAAATGACTCAAATATTTATTTAGTTTGCTGTTTATTTGTCACCAGAAGAAATAGAGATAAAATATTTTATAAATTTAATAGCGATGGTATATTGCTCCATCTAATGGAGTAAACGACTTTCTGATTATGTTTTTGTGTTTTAAATTTAGTCTTATAAAAAGTAAAAAATTCAAATTATCCCTGTATTAGCTTGAAAACCAAATGATAAACAACTAAGTTCAATAAACGGAGAAAAGCATTCCATGGGCATTTAAAATTTTAATATTAAGATTATAAATTGTGTATAGATACTTTACGTATACTTAAACGAGCAGTTGTACGAGAAATAATCTGTGTACAAACGAATTGTAAAAATATTCGCAAATAGTTATAATTTTAGTATAATATGTGCACAAACTTAGACCATTCTACTGTAGGTATATCAAAGTGGTTACTTACTTTTTTATTATAAATTTTGAGAGCCTTTAAAAAAAAAAAAAAATTGTTATGTATCGACCTAATTCAAAAGAGTAGTTTTTAGTTATTAAAATGTTTATATTATGGATAATAATATAATAGAATAGCCAATAAAAATAGTCTTACAAAAATATAAAATGGATGAAACCAATCGTGTATTGAAATACATGATCGATTTTTATATTTATTTTATGAAATTCGATTTTTTTTTTTTATAAATTATAAATAAATCAATATAAATAACTAAATTTTTTAAATTTTCATAATTACATTTTTACATATTTAATATCTTTTAAACTTATATTATTTTTAGTACACAAAATTAAATAACTTAAAAACTATTCGTTGAGTTTTGGTTTTGATAAATTTAAATATTTAGAAATAATTTATGCTATAAAAAGTGGTTCTCATTTGAAAAAAATCTTAAGTTTTTGTATCCTTATAGGTTATTCTTATAGAATTTCTAGGATTTTTATAGAAAAAAAATTAAAATATGGATTTTAAGTATATTTAAAAAATTCTAAAAATCATAATTTGGATTCAATGAAAAAATGAGGATGAAGCTAATCTAAAGGAGGTAAGTATGCTTAGCGAATCAGTCTGTATATAATATTAAATATTTTTTACTTATCATTTATAAATAGATATTTAAAATCTATTAAATTTATTATTAATTTTTGTTTTAAACTTAAGTATTAGTATAATGTTGTAGGTAGTCAGAAAAAAATATTTGTATTAATTTACATGTATGTATGCCATTCGAATATTTATATGAAAATAAAAATAATAATAATAATAAAAGTTTTATTTCAATAAGAACATAACTTTAAAAACAAATACCTTTCAGAAGTATAAATTTTAACTGATAAATGCAAGTTGTACATCTTAGTTCATAAATATGTCTTGATTATCAAATTTTGGCTACGTTTATAAGCTATTTGAATATTTTATCACATAATTGGCCGTTAATGCATAAAACCAAATTAAATAAAAATAGTATAAACATTATAGAGTCGGAAAAATTATGTTTTGAAAAATGGCGGGACGAGTTCCATTGCTCATTAGCTCGCCGGCCGGCCTGTCATTAGGACTCGTAAGTTTTGGTAACCACTGTAGTCAGCTGTCCGATCGGTCGTCAGGCTTCGTGTAATGCATTGCGACGTTGCCGTACTCACTGGTGCCCTCGTTTCGGATTGGTTGACCATAGATCTATATTCCGGGCCGTTGCAATGCCGCACGACCTGGTCGTATACTCGCCTAGTATCTGTGACGTCGTTTTTATTCCTCTCGTTTGTCTGTCATTCCTTCTCGCCGCCACTCGTCTCACATAGTTTCATCCATCCCGGTCTGTACGGCTCCGCATTCGGTAAGTAAAACATTAAATTCATCTTTGCTAATTTACATCTTTTGAAAACGTTCTACTGGCTCAATTGAATTTAGCTTGTTGTGGCTGTCGCGTTTATGGTTGCCGATCTTTAGTGAATAAGTCGGCGATCCATCCGTGCCGTCCGCCATCTTTTTCTGTCGGGTCACGCCTCGAGACATCGCGAACCGAACTTATCATTTTTTCGATCTCTGATCCATTCATAACGAATTTTTATTTTCACCTCTTAATACTCAGATCGTAGGTTTTTTCGTTGCATCATACCACCTCGGTCGTTTTACCTGAGTTGCCTTCTCCAAATTTGCCCTTGCCAAAGGTTAAATCTGCCGTAGCACGAGGTTAATTGATATTTTCATTAACTATGTGTTTTAACTGGTGTGTTTCTATTTTTCAGTTCTAACTCGACTACCCACAACAAATCTACAACATACAAAAATGTATTCTTTAGCCAAAGCCGTTGCACCTGCTGTCCGCTCCGCTGTAAGTATGTTTTAAGGGTAACAGTAATAGGAAAATGAGTTGCTATGGTATGTTAGAAAAACCCCGTATTTCATCTTAACTTAAAGGGGTTGGTTTGAGGTTAAAAAGCTGTAATTGGGTGAAGGTGATTGCAAGGGCAATAGTCTTCTTAACAAAATTTATAACAGTCTGAAATATTTTCTGTTGAATTTTAATATAGGATATACTTGAATTGACATAGGTCCATTTAATTTTTCATATTAAAATATAAATTAAATAACTACATATTATATATTTTTCATACTAATGGTTTTTTCTACTTTTATGTTTGGTTCTTACTCTCTTATGTAATGGTATATATTGTAAGATTATAAATATGAAGATAAATTGTACTTTTACCAATGTAATTAGTTATATGCCATAGTAAATGACTGCTAGTTGAGATGATTAAATTATAAGTTGAAAAATTTAGAAAGATCCTAATAGAAGTCAAGTTGATTATTATGACACATATGTAAATAGAAAATTAAAATGACTAGCACATATAATTGTTTTTTAAGGTATAATAATTATAGATATTGATAAATATCCGATAAATATTAACTTTGATTTGTCAGTTTAAAAAAAAATTGTTATATGTATTTTATTTCTTGATTACTATTAATTGAATATTATAAATATTACATTAAGTAATAATAATCTACAATAAGTATATTAAATATTGATAATTCATAAATTTATTACCCTAAATGTTAAATTAAATTTTTCATTTTTAGATCCTCTCAAACTCCAGGGCATCTATTGTCAGGCCAATTAGCAGCATTGTCTCAAATGGACCCAGCACACAAAACCAACAAACTCCCAGTGCCATTATTTCCAATGGAAGCTTGGTAAAATAACATTTGATTAACTATTAAAATTAAATTTTGAGCTTTGTTGTTTTATATAACAAGTTAAATGTTAAATTTATAAATCAGGTAAATGCTGTCAGAGGATTCCAAACATCAGCTGTGTCAAGAGATATTGACTCTGCTGCAAAATTCATTGGCGCTGGTGCAGCCACAGTAGGAATTGCTGGATCAGGTATATCCATGTTATGATATAACCTATTTTTCAATATGCAAATATGTATAAAAACTGCTTGAAATTGGTGTTTGCGCTTGTTTGTGTGTATGAGCTTTTTCCAAACCTTGATTTGTTTTATCATAATTTTATTATTTATATAGCTTAATAAGAATTTAAATTATATATTAATTCCTACATTTTATTCATCCTATTGTGTAGTTACATAATTAAGTGCAACCATCTTTTCCATTTTTTATTTTTATCCTAACATTTTTCGCTTTTTCATACTCACAGGTACTGGAATTGGAGTGGTTTTTGGTTGCTTAATGTTAGCTTATGCACGTAACCCGTCATTAAAACAGCAGCTTTTTTCATATGCAATTTTAGGATTTGCCCTGGCTGAAGCAATGGGCCTCATGTGTATCATGGTCACTTTTTTATTGTTATTTGGTGTTTAATGGAAATATTTATTTATTTATTTTTTTTTCAAAAGAGTTATTCACTCATTAATTAACCATAGATTTTTTATTGAAAATGTATGTTATAATTAATTAAAGATTAACTATTAAATAATTGTAAGATGACACCAATTTTATTTTATATGTGTAGATAAAACAAGTATACACACTACAATTTAATTTTAATATTTCCATTGTGAATGCCATTAATAAGTCATCAAATTTTTACAGTTAATATTTTGATTTTTTATATTTCATATGCTATTTTTTGTCATTATAATAAAATAGTTTTCATCTTATTTCTTAATTTTAATTGTATATAATTTTTTTAAGAGTAATTTATGTATTATTAGGATAAACACGCAAGTTTAGTTACTTTTTATTTTTAACACTTAACAATCCTATTACTAAATTGAGTAACTTAAGCTTTTGCTATTTCATTTTTAAGCTTTTGCATGATATTTGAGTTTTGGATTTGTGATTGTTTTATTGGTACACAAGGGATTGAAGCATGCTGTTGAAAATGTAAGTTATACAATATCACTAAAATATCAGTTTTTCAATAATCATAATCTTTTTTTTATTTTAAATTTTTATAGTAGAGTATATTGTCCAGTAGTTATTCAGTTTTGTTATACTACAATAAATTTTTTTCTTCATACTTCATTGTTATATTTAATACATTGACTGCTGCTACATGTCTGTCATTAATTCAAGTTAGTTCTATGTATAAAAGCCTAGGTTAAGTACTAACCACTAAGTTACATTTTATTCATTTTTTTTACCCAAGAGATCAAAATTGTCTCCATATTGATTTATATTAAATTTGTTTCTCATAGATAATTAATGATTATTCAATTTTGATGTTAAGATATACTATAGTTAAAGCTTACATTTTTTCAAAGTTAAATTATTTATTTTAACAAAACATTAATTTGGATATTAATAAAGGTTTGTTCGTGCACTTTTTTTAAAAATTGAAATTATATTTTTTTAATCAAAAAAAAAAAAAAAAACTATAGTGTGCTATACTTTTGCACATTCTGCTTAATATCTAGCCATTAAAATTAGTTTTATTATGCCAGGGTGTCGCAAAGGAATGTGTAAATTGTGTACTTTTATTTGGTAGACAAGAATGTACATGTTTAATTTTAATATTATATTTATTATTAATTTTAAAGTGTTGTTTATTTTTATATTTTCAGGAGCTGGAATTGGAACAGTATTTGGTTCCCTGATCATTGGTTACGCACGTAACCCATCACTCAAACAACAACTTTTCTCTTATGCCATTTTGGGATTTGCTTTGTCTGAAGCCATGGGTCTCTTCTGTCTCATGATGGCTTTCTTATTGTTGTTCGCTTTCTAAGTCGTCTCACGATGTCTTTCGTCATTCATTAAGCAAAAAATAAAAAACATCCCATTACATAAAACAACAAAGAATTTTTTTTAATTCTGTTCAAAATTGGCACGACCGAAAGAATTGCGAAAGACTGTTGTCTGTGAAATACACTTTGATAGGGAATTTACCTATAATGAAATAGATACTAACTTTAAGACAGCACTTAGGTGTTTATGAAACTGCCTCATATTGTAGACGTATTAAACGCCTAGGTTGGAATACTGTTTTTTTTTTTTTTTGGTTTTTCCTATTTTGTATATTTCACAGATATATAAATAGAATAAATACTTATTGTAGAATTCATTTATTTATTCCTTTTTTTTATCTGACATTTTTTTTTTAAGAATCTGTTGGTGATTTTGTCTAAATAAAAATAAAATTATTTTTTGCTGTTATCAGTTTTGGCTTTAGGTACCATGTTACATGTTTTCTATAAAACGTAATATACAAAGATTAAAAAAAGATAATTGTTATTTCTAATTTTAAAGTAATTTAATTTCAAAAAACATTCAGTTGTTTTAGTTCAGGTATTGTTGGTAACTTAGGTGTTTTTGTCATTCATTTTTTTTATATATATATAAATTTTAATGGACACATGATAGTTTTTGTTGTTGAAAGTGTTTTAAGTAATTATGTTAATTGACATTTAGAACTTGCAATCAATTACAAGATAAATGGAAGTACATTTATAAATGTATTTATATAGTTTTAAAAAGTGAAATATAAATCATTCACCGAGTCATACAACAGTTTTTATATATTATATGACTATTTGTTTTATTTGTACTGAAAAAGTTACAATATCCAATAAATGTAAAATTCAAAATTTAATGTAGTACGACTGTAACCTAATACTTAGCTAATTTTAAACTAGTTACTAATTGGTATTTCTGTATTAGTATAAAATTGACAACGTAATTATAATCAAATGCGAGAAATTTACATTGAAGATAATAGTGCCACTCTCCAGATTAATTTACTATTTTAATATATTACAAGCATTTTTTTAATTAATAGAATTGTATAATGAATTTTAAACGTTAATTTTTTTTCGAAACCATGAACGCCGAATGGTATTAGCATTTTGAAAACTGATATAGTCTCTTTTTATCAGGTTATCACTAGTTACCATTTAGTAGTTGGTAGTCCACTCGATTTAATGTACAGTGGTACCAAGTTTGTTTTACAATATTTCACAATCTTGATAAGTTTCATAAATATTATCAACTAACGTTGTTCATTTAGCCAAGAGGCAAGAGCCAGTATTTTGTCAAAAAATTAAAAAGTACGAATTTTCTACTTAATTATACTGGCTAGAAATAATTTGCATAAGCTACCCTTAAAATTGAAGATCAAAATATTTTTTTCGTGTATTAGATACACCGATACACATTTTAGATTAAACAAAAATATATTCTTTCTAAAAAAGACTATAATTATAATGCAGGGATATCTACTCATTAATAGTTCCAACTTAAGCTCAAAAATATAAAAATCCTTATTTTTTTAATATTTTTAGTTTAAATTTTAACGACATTGGGTATTATCTTTAAACATAAATTTGTTGTAATTAAAAAATATTATTCATGGATTTAGTTTCCGTTAAAAATTGTTCTTTGTACATTTACTTAGATACATAATAATATTATATATTTGTATGTACTTATGTTTACAGAGAGTAATTCTTTTATGGTTGAACTATTTTTTATTTCTAAATCTATGATGTTAAAATATTTTTCTTATATAATTTCCAATCGAAATAAAATAATGTTTTTTTAAGTAAGAATTATATTTTTTTTGTTATAATTTTGTAAGTTTTTACTTTTTTTGAATGACAACATATATTTTTGATTTTGTATTTTAAAGTAGAATATTTTTTGGAATAGGTAGTATAACTTAAAAATTAAATTTGGACGAGTTATAAATATTTAAAGTTTATATAAGCGGAGTAATAGATCAGCAATTTGAAGGATACCTACAACTTAAGAAAAAATAAATTTGTTAATTTTATTGAAAATTTACAATTTATACAACTACACAAGATGCAATAACCAAATGAGCGTAAAACGAAATGTGATATTGAAAATAAATATTGAGTAGAATGTAGAAATTTCACATTAGAAAATTACACGTTAATAGTATTGAAACATTTAGAAGGTCTCTGGATCAATGGCATTGTAGGCACCTGACTTGATTGTACGGAAGAGTAGGTATTAAAGTTAAGTTGAGCGATTTGGGTGTTTGAATGATGTTTCATTTTGGAGTGTAGGCATATGTAATATGTGGTACTTATTTACCGTATAGTGGGTATTTAAAATTTTAAAAGTCATAATGTAGTGCGATAATATTTGTGTCGTACCTACCAAGAGGCTTTAAAAGTCATGCGGAGGAAGATGGTTTGGAGCCTTGGAATATTTGAATGGCTCTCTCGGTAAGTAGATATTTGATGATTTAGCGGTACCCCAGAAGGCGATTTCGTATGACCAGATAAGTATTAGTAGAGATTTTTAAAGTAGTAGGTGCATAGGCGAAACTACAGGTCAGGCCATGGCCTGACCTAATACTGGCTGAAAATTTTTATAATGTATATTATATATTTTAATAATTATTTGGGCACATATTTTTTATATATATTTTATTTGGCCTGACCTAATAAAAATGTCTAGTTTCGCCTATGAGTAGGTGGTAAGAACTTATAGAGATGTACATATGCGATTTCTGAAGAGGCCTTAAGATGTGTAGGCGGCTGTCTAATTGTTTTTGTTTATTTTTGATGGGGATCCTAGATGAGCCTTCTGTCGAACAGTAAACTTAAATACCTATTTGACTTAATTTTTTTGTTACGTTCCCGAATTTTATGTAAGGACAATCGCTGAGGTGGAGGGAGAAAGGGACCTAAGATGATTTGGAGTCGTTAATCTTGAATTTCCAAAGTTTGGACCAATGGGATAAAGTGAGCAGATGGTTTTGAAGTAGGTTATTCGCTTCAAAGTTCAAAGGGGTTTTGACTTGATGAAAGGACTGTGGTATCGTCAGCATAGATTCCAATCACGAAGTTTTCAGTTGTAGGAATGTCAAGTGTGAACATGTATAGAGAAAGACTATGATGTCGTTTTCTCGAGGGACGTCGATTGAAAGGTTATGTATGCTGGGTAAAGAAGTTTTTAATTGGACTTTGAATTAACTTAAAATAGAACTATTTAGGTACCTATAGGGTTTTAGAAGTTGATAATATGGTGCCGGGAAAATAATTATCGTGCAAGACGGTGTCAAACACTTGAGCTATGTCAAGCAAAGCCCTGAGCCATATATTTTTATTTCAGGGTTATCCTAAACCTCAACTTTAAATACTATACCTATTACCTACATACCTAATTTATAAAACATTCGTCTAAATTTCGATAATTATGTATTGGTTATAAATTTATAAATAATTTATTATTTTTATTATTTTATATATAATATATATATATATATATTATTTTTCGTGATTAAACTAAAATTATATATTTTATTATAATGTTATAATTTTGGTTTAATTTTTGGGGTTTTTTTTTCCAAAAGCAAGGGTTTATTTTACTAGGTACCTTAATAAATTATAGCCATGCGCAGACTCTGGTTGATATGTTGGGATGCTATAACATCCATTGCTTTAAAATATATTTGTATCTATCGGTATAAATGTGCAGCTTTAATTACCTAGGTACTCTACTTAAAATGAATTTGTTTTTTTAAGGTGAAAGTTACAATGCTTTAATAAAGTTATTTGTAAATCTATATTATTTATAAAATAACTATAACAATCACAAAGAATAGATTGAAAATAGTCAGTTAGGAAATAGGTTAATCAATTTGAGTAACTTTTTATGTACATTTATTTTATCAATTTATTATTAACATAATATTTGGTATTTATTTAGTACCTAAGTCCTAAGTGACTAGTCGGACTGATAAATTGAAAACAGTTATAATGATTAAATATTCAATTTTGTTACTATAATAAATGAGTTCTAATATTTGACCCAAACAGTATTTTGAATTGCATTGTGCATTAAGATCTGTATATTACAGGTGCGGATCTAGAACAAATTTACAGGGGGGGGGTGGTGGAACTCGCCAACTTAAATAAAATTTCAGCCTAAGTTTTTAGCCACTTATATGTGTGTGTGTATGACTCGGAACGCGAGACAGTGTATGAGTGTATGACGTTATAAATACAAGTACCTACAATCGCACAATACAAGAACCCGAATTATGGCCCCTTGGCCCTCCGCTTGGATCCGCGCCTGGTATATTATGTAAAAAATCTATTTGTTGATCGTATTGATTTATATGTCTGACATCTTTTTGTGATACATTGTAAATTACTGATTTCCTGAATTTCATTCGTTGTCAATCTTTTTATTTGTGATGTACATCTTTGTTTCACGGTTTCATTTAAGGCATAAATTAGTTTTATTATTTTGTGGTAATAGTTTATTCTTTTTTTAAATTTTAACACTGTTTTTTTTTTTTTGGTGGAAATAGTCGTATACAACTCAGCCGTTAACTTTTTAAATTTTTATGTAAACAAATGTTGTACAATTTTTTTTTAGAGTTTTGTTACAATTTGGTATCTATTTACAATTATTTTCAATTCACTTTAAATTTGTCCCAATTTTTTTATTATTTGCCCTTTAAATTATGTAGCATCTTATGCCATTTTTTATCAGCTCATTTCTGGCTGTATTTATTAGATATTTAAATAATTTATTGTACTCTGCAATCAAATACACAAAGTTTACAAATAGCTTTGAGCGATTAGAAACAATTTGTTTTAAAAGATCATTTATCTTAGCGGTTGGGGTATTGATCCAGAATTGGGTAATCGATGCATCTTGAGTTGAATGTTACCTTAAATTTTATAAATTATTTAACAGCAATAATTGGTAATTCGGAATTCATAAATCCGACAGAATTACAAATGATATTATATTAAAAATAGAATTTAATTTACTCGAGATTATCAATGTCAACAAATAAACAATAATAATGTGCATTATTACATTTAAATATAATAAATTTTTGTTCAGATTGAAAAACATTTTATATTATAGTAAGATGAACAATGTTCCATGATTTATAAAATTTTACATATATTTTGATGGGCTCGATGTGTATTTGTTTCATTTTTTTATGATTTATAAATAAATATTAGGTACAAAATTGAAAATAGTACAGACTATAAGTTCAAATTAATACGATGTATGGTCACAATAAAATGATTCGATTTTTGAAAATTCCCGCTTTTATTTCTAGTACAGTGGTTGTCGATATTTGTTTTTGTTTTTGTTGGATTACGAGCACTCACTGATCTCACTGTCTAGTTCTTATCAGGACTGGTGTTTGAGGCCAATCGATGAGAAAAAAATTTATTCACCTACCATAGAGTGAAGGGCAAGGAAATCTGTCATTGATTTAAGTTTAACTGTTTAAGTCTGTTACTCTGTTTTTATTCTCGAACAAAAAGTCAACATGACCAATTTAGTTACCAAAAGTTCGTACATGTTGGAAACGTTGGGCAAAAAGAGCCCTAAAGTAAGTGCATCAATAATACTTTGAATTATAATGTTAGTTCTAAGGAAAAATGTTCAATGGGCGTTCAATCCTTTAAGTTTGACCTAAATGTTAAAATACGAACTTCGAACTGCTCTGGACTAGCCTGATTGTTATTGATTTGCAACTTGCTCTAATGTAATATCAGCGATATCCATATTTATTTGACCATTAACATGTTTCAACAGCTTTTTGCCGCATCATTACCAGCATGTTCTCTATGGAGTAATAGTCAGCAGCGTCGAAATCTCAATGTACATGAACATGTTAGTTATTCACTGTTGAAAGGTGCTGGCATACCTGTCCCTAAATTTGGGGTAGCCAAAACTGGAAAGGAAGCAGCTGAACTAGTGCGAGGGCTAGGACTCACAGATATTGCAGTCAAGGCTCAGGTGTTGGCTGGTGGTCGTGGATTAGGTCATTTCAAAAAAGGATTTAAAGGCGGTGTTAAAATGGTTGACACGTTAGTTAAAATTATATCTTACAATAATATTATTTATGTATGTGTGTAAAATATAATATTTGTTAATTTAGGGCAGAAGAAGCTGAATATGTATCAGATCAGATGTTAGGAGATTTTTTGATCACAAAACAAACTGGAGAGAAAGGCCGTATTTGTAATGCTGTTATGGTAGCTGAACGCGTATATGCAAGAAAAGAATTTTATTTTGCTGTTATGATGGAAAGAGCTTTTGGTGTAAGTGAATAAATCAATTAAAATAATTAAGTCAATAAGAAATATTAACTATGTTTAAGATATTCATGAAATGATCATATTGTTTATAGGGTCCAGTTTTAATAGCGTCTTCTCAGGGTGGTGTAAATATAGAAAAAGTTGCTGAAGACAATCCTGAAGCTATTTTATATATGCCTATTGATATTACAAAAGGTAATCATTTGTTATTAAATCCATCAGTCAATATCATGCTTTATTATTTGCTTTTATTAAAATTAATTTGTTATTGTATTTGTTAGTCATTTTTAAATGAGTCATTAAATATTATCTCTGTATTATTATAAAAAATATTAATAAGATAAGCATTTTAATAAAACAACAATATTATACACATAATTTAACAAAAACATTAATTTTCTGATAATTATTTATTTTAAAATGATAATTGAGACGTTTTAAGTATTTAAATATATATGTTGGGTTCCATCACTGGATGGCCTCACTTCTTGTATTCTATAAATAAAAATTTTATTATATCTGTTTTCATATTTTTCTTGTATGTGTGTAGCACAAACTATTAATTTTATAATAATAATAAAAGAAGTATTTAAATTTAACCTTGAAGGTCAATTAATTAAGTAGAATGAAGATAATTTTGTTCATGAATCAATGTTTTTGTAATCTTTTGATTTCAGTTTAAAGTAGAATAGATTATTTTATTTAAAATAAAATCTGTATTTATTATTTATAAAAGAATTAAATTGAATATCAGTTGAATTAAAAAATAAAATTTATTTATAATTAGGGTTAAAATTTTTAAGTAAATTTATAGTATTAATGAAGATATCTTAATTCTAAGTAAAATGAACAAGTATCTTAATTTAATTATTGTATTATAATTTTATTTTAATGTTTAATAATATTAACATTATACATATAAACCTATACTTATTTACTTTTGTTGTATGTTAATATTAAATGTTATTTTAGCTCTGTTTGAATCTTTAAAAAAATTATTATTAAGTTTCTTTAATAAACAATATGTTTATTTTTATTAGGTATATCTAGAGAACTGGCCTTAGATGTAATCACCAAAGTTGGATTGACCAAAAAAAAAGATGAAACCGCAGATGTTATTTTGAAGTTATATGACTTATTTCTTACCAAAGATGCTCTATTAATTGAAGTTAATCCTTATGCTGAAAGTATTTCTACTGGAGGATGTGAGTATATTTTTATATCAAATTAATTAAGCTGCTGTTTTTTTTTTTTTTTAGATATAATAAACTATGTTAAATTATTTTTTTTTAAAGATTTTTGTTTGGACGCTAAATTCAGGTTTGATGATAATGCTGAGTTTAGACAAAAAGAATTGTTTGATTTGCGTGATTGGACTCAAGAAGACGAAAAAGAAGTTGAAGCTTCTAAATATAATCTAAACTATATTGCACTTGATGGTAAATTAATTAAAATCTATAAAATTATACTTAAACATTTTTTGTTCAATTTTTTTCTTTAATTTTATCAGGTACTATTGGTTGTTTGGTAAATGGTGCTGGTTTGGCAATGGCTACTATGGATATAATAAACTTGCACGGTGGACACCCAGCTAATTTCTTGGATGTTGGAGGTGGTGCTACTGCTTCTCAAGTCAAAGAAGCTTTTAAAATCATAACATCAGACCCTAAAGTATGAATTTTGTTTAAATAATAATTATGACTAAAGTCTTTTTTAATAAAATTAAATATACATAGTACATCCAGAAAGTAAGTTCCGTTTTCTATTTTTATCGGGTTTGCGATGTTATCTTAATTACGGTCATATCCGATTATTTCATTTACTTATTTGGAACATTTTAAAACCATTCTGTGACTAATTGGTGTACGTTCGTCACGTAGCAAGTATTTTAAAATGGATAAACGAATAGAAAATTCCGCCATGTGTGAGTTATGATCTGTGATTCGTTTTTTAAATGCAAAGAATATCAAACCAGTTGATATTCATCGTCAAATTTGTAAAGTTTATGGAGAAAACGCTATGAGTGATTCAATGGTTAGGTTAGGAGATGGGTGTGACTTTTCAATGAAGGCCGTACAAATGTTCACGATGAAGAACGAACTGGGTGACCATCTTTAGTTAATGATGTTTTGGTGTAAGAGGTCGAAAAAAAAATTCATGAAAACAGAAGGTTCACCATGACGTCATTATCAATACATTTTCCTCAAATTTCCCGTTCTCTTTTTCATGAAATTGAATTTTCGAAAATTTTGCGCACGTTGGGTGCCAAAAATTCTTACTGATGAACACAAAGTGAAACGTCAGGGTAGTGCACTTCAGTTTTTGTCAATATGCGAAGAAGACGGCGATAACTTTTTAAGCCGCATTGTCACAGGGGATGAGACTTGGGTTTCTCATGTCACCCCTGAATCAAAAACAACAAAGTATGGAGTGGAGACATACCACATTGCCATCAATGAAAAAAAGCAAATAGACACTGACTACTCGAAAAATCATGTGCACGGTGTTTTGGGACAGACAAGGAGTTTCGTTAGTGGACTTACCTGAGTGGTCAAACAATCAACGCAAATTTTTATTGCTAGACGCTTAAAAAACTACGTAGTGCAATACAAAATAAACGACAAGGCATGCTTAGCTGTGGCATTGTTTTCATCCACGACAATGCTCTCTCGCATACAGCAAATGTGACGAAATAACTTCTTGCAGATTTTGCATGGGAACAATTTAATCATCCGCCCTACAGTCCAGATTTGGTACCCAGTGGTATTCATCTTTTTTTTACACATGAAATCATGGGTGACCAGAGCTTCAACGAGGACGATGAGGTGAAAAAGGCTATTAGTACATGGTTACAATCACAGGCATCATCTTTCTATGATGAAGGGATAAAAAAACTAGTACCTCGATATGATAAATGCTTAATTAATGGTGGTAACTATGTTAAAAAATAAAGTTGTACTTGTATTTTATATTCTAATAAAATTAATATAAAAATTTACACATTTACATGTTTTTATTGCCCAATGGAACTTACTTTCTGGACGTACCTCGTAGAATAATTATTAGTCAAATTTTACATATTATTCTAATAATATTACTTTAAAAATTAGTAACCAAATTTATTATTAAATTTTGAACAATTATAGGTATGTGCTATTATGGTAAATATTTTTGGTGGAATAATGAGATGCGACATCATTGCTGAAGGAATAATTGCGGCAGCTCAAGAGTTGAATCTCAATGTACCAATAATTTGTCGTTTACAGGTATATTAGTGTCGTTTAGTTATAATTTATAATTTATAGTTAGTGTTACTGTTAATGTTAAATGTAAAAGATATTTATCTTTTTTTTTTTTTACTTATAGGGTACAAACGTTGATGAAGCAAAACTTCGTATTGCAAATTCTGGTATGAAAATTTTGCCAGTAGACAATCTAGACGAAGCTGCTCGTTTGGCAGTGAAATTATCTGAAATTGTGAACCTAGCTCGTGAACAACACTTGGGTGTTAATTTTGAAATGCCCATCTAAAACAAAAATTAAATTATCAAACAGTAATTATTAATATGTTAACTAATACTGGTTCTCAAAATCTATTGCACATTTGACTTAAATACTACAAAATACAGATTAGTAAAACAAATTTTATATTCTCATTCAAAGGTTAATTAATTATTTAAAAGAGACATGTATATTTTTTAATTTTCTTTCTTTTACTGTTGGATCACCTTAAATAAATTTGTGTATGGTTTCTTATATTCTTTAAAATTCAAGATAAGTATGGCTTTTGTTTTAATAATATTTTTCTTAAATTGTTTTATATAATAATAATATAACTTTAATTTATACATCCAAAATGTTTTACTAATATTGTTCATTTGTATGATAGTTACCTTTATGATTAAGTGTTACTATTGATTAAATTGTCTGGTTTTAATTTTAAAAAGATAAATGAAAGTAAGTATTATTACTAATTAAAAGTCTCCTTAAATTATATTACGTATAATTTGTAAAGATTTATTCATACTAATAGCTTCCAATACGAGAAAGCACATGAAAAATTTATATTTATGCTATATTGCTAATTCCCCTAATCTTATATTCAGTTATAAATGGCATACTATGTTACCTTTGTTTGTATTTCATAAATTGTTCCTTTAAAAAAATAATGAAAGGTTACTTTTATTCAACTAAGCTAGTTTAGTTACTTTTTTAAATTATTAAGTATAGTTAAACATAAACAATAATGGCTGTAGATACTTAGACTACTATTACCATATTATTATTATTGTTGTTAATTCTACATAAAACTATTGTAAATTGTCTTGAAAATAATAAATAGTAATAAATAATTGTTATGACATGATTATTATTGGGTCATTATGTTTTTAATTATTTTAGTTATTGTTTCTATGGGAGATGCGATAGAAATTGTTTATTGATATTATTGAAAAAAATATGAAATTATATAATTTACTTACTAATACAAAACTAAGACTGATGCAAAGGTTTTTCTTATAGTCATTATTTGTAAATTATAAATGTAATTGACCAATGTGTCTCAGCTTGTTTTTCAAATAAAAAGTAAAAAATATTTTAATTTCTCTAATGATGTCATAATGTAAAAATTTTTTGATTTTTCGGTTTCTTAAAAAAAATTTAAGTGAAGGTATCGTACATAATTGTGTTGGTTGAAATATCCAAATTATAACTTATTTTATGACCTGTTGGTTGTTATTAAATAGCTAATAATATATGTAATACTCGCTCGCAAAAAATTAAATTTGACTGGACTCCATTTCACGATTTATTTCAAGTGGACTGTGGTATAGCATTAATGTTTAATTAAAAAAATTTTAATATCGATTTAATTTTAATCTAGTACTTATTTAAACATTATTATACTCCTTACCTATAAATAATAATTATTAATTATATACTAATATTAATATACAGTATTTGAATTGGTATTATCTTGTCGATATCTATTTTTAACTTAATAATTACGAGATTACTGTTAAAAATTATTTATTATTTATGCTTTTTGTATTTTACTAATATTTACAAAAAATTACATTTGTACCTAATACATGTTAGTACTATTTAATATTTATAATGATCAATATTTAGTACCTTCTAGAAGTCTAGTCAGTGATTATAATATAATTTCTTTGCCAACGACTAAGATAGTCAGAATTCAGAACGCATTACTATCTGCTATTTCTCAATACATCATCATTTTTAGCTTGATGAGATACATTTCTTTCCTATAATTGGAAACTTAGGTCTCTTGACTCTTACTAAGTATAATTGTGCGTAGTGCGTACATGTGTGGATGATTTAAAATGTGAATCGTGATGCAGGATACTTTTTACTTTTGTATCATGCTAGCAACTTCCCAAAAATTTAACAAAATGTTAATTTACGCCTATAATTATTACTGTAGTTGGCAAGAAGAACCATCTATATACGGATATCAACACAATTGATTTAAAGTTACAAAATTTAACATTTTTTTTTAAAAACAGTTTAATTTTACCATCGGTCTGCATTCAGCGTTGATACGTTGCACACTCCTCATATGAATAGGCAGGACACGAGGACGGTAGTTATAAAACAGAGTACAGACAATTATTATCGAAAATAGATTTAATTAAAAGTTCTATAAACACAAATTAATAATAATTTATTTAAAATGTTTTCTATTTTTACCTGAAGTTTATGAGTATAAGTATTATTTTATTAATTGGGTAATTAGACAATTATTACTAAATGTGATTAATAATTTTCATTGTCGTAACATAAAACGTAGATGCAGACTGCGGCGGACCGCGAAATGGTGAAATAGTGAAGTTTTAGTATATTCATAAGTACCTTGTCTGAGGACTAATTGTCTCAAACAAGTTTCTACACCTAATAACCTAACTTATACTCACATAATTTGTGTACAAGGATCCACGTGGCAACTCGTTTTCTGGATTGGTCGTATTAGAGTGATTTTTATTAGTTTTAACCTCTCACAAAGATAAAAATAACAATTATATAGACCTATCAATTACACAGCCAAGATGGATACTGATTTGTATAAAAAGCTAGTAAAAAAAAAGCCACAGCTGTGTTACTAGATTTTATTAGATTGTACGCTGTACCGAAACGATTTTGACCTTTTTTTTTTTTTTTTGTAAAGCAGAAAAATTCAATTAAAATATCGTCAAATGAAATATTATGTTTGTTTTTTAATCATAATCATGATTTAAATTATTTTTTGTTCATCAAGTATCAACATTAATTATAGTTTCTAACTGACGAAGTGATCATAAAATTAGGAAACTACTTTCTTTTTAGTCTCCAAGCATTTACGATTTACATAAAAATAATATAAGAGATTAATAAATATCATAAAACGTCGTTATTTTATTAAATTTGTGCTATACCTATCAAATAATAATTTAATAACGTGTGTAAGTTATATTATATACTGTAAGATTGTGAACGTTTAAAAAGTAAACACATGTTCGATGTTTTTTAAAAGGGCTAATAAATTAACGAAAAAGTATAACAATATACATTTTATGTTATTTTTTAAATACACTACCACAGTTTGAGACGGTATAATCTCAAATGCTCTGGAGTAGTTAAGTTTAGACTCTTCACTCTAGGCGTTTCCCTATTTCTGTGAAACCTCTGAAAATGATGAACGTGAGACGCAATAGTCGTAACTCATAAGTTTTTTTTAAATAATAATGCTTTATTTCATGGAGACATGGACAGATTTTCGTATCCATGCTCATCGTTATCATAGTCGTTATCAAGACCATTGTTTTGGTATTTACTAATACTATTTACAAGACCGCAGCGGCAGCCGTGATCCGAACAGAATACTGTGTTTTGCAATATTAATTTTTAACTGCTTAGACTATACGGTAGGATTGTCTGTGTTTTTTTTTTAAAACTTTTTTTTTGAATCCAAATCTCTACGTGAAGATCGACCAAAGGTGACCACGTAATGTAAGTACACATTCTCAAATAGATTTCCACTTTTATTTCGTCGACATTACCGAATCCCTTTAACATATGTCTTCAAGATGCGAACGTTTTGTGACTCAAATCAGTTAAAAACCTTTAGATTGAAAATATTTTATGATTAAATGTCCTAATGCCTCCTATGGTCAAAATTTTAAGACGTTTGACACTTTTGATGCATGGATTGTTGTACATAGAAAAACCTGATAACTTTGGTTGTAAGTCACATTACACTGCAACAACTATGTTTTTGTATTAATATAATAGTTGTATATAGTTGACAATCGTAGACGTATTCAATAAGACTAATGCAATTGTTTTGTTGACAGGTATAATTTTTATTTTTTGTGTGTTTGTGTAAAATTCTCTTGATCTATTTAACTCATCAGTTTTATTTATACTATAGGTATCGCACTATATTATTGGTTATATTTAAGCGTTGCCTGACAACTAAGTTGCATCATTTCTGTTTCACGATTTGTGTTTTTTTTTTTTGGTTGATAATTTATTGTGCATTCTTGTATATATTTATGTAACTTGAATTATATATATATATTTATGTAACTTGCATTTTATATATAAATATTTTAACAGTTAACACCAATTTGTATTCACCTCATTACCTATATTGTGTGATTTTTCATTCCAATAACATTTTCATTTTATAAAGCACAGCAACAAGTGCCAACTGATAATTAGTGATATACTCTTGTTTAATTTAATATTTTTGCCATTGTTTGTCAACAATTTATAAATTATTTAACTATTTAGCATTTATATTCATGCTTATTAGTACAATTAATAATTGGTTCTGTAAATTAAAACATTTCTCTCCTATTCTAAAAAACTCCTGTAAGAAATGCATACTTAATATAGTAATAAAACAAATAGCACGAGAATTTTATTCAGTCTAATTAACAGGAATGATGCTCAAATATAGTTAAAATCAAATTTTATTAAAGTTTCAATAATTTAGTGATTATTTTTGTTATTTTCATTTAGGTTATGAATATATAACGAAAATATTTAAATTCTTTGTTTAATCATTTTATTTCTATTTTTTGTAGCTTTACCATTGTTACAATATGTTTTGTTACTTATAGCATTAAATTAATTTGTTAATAAATTAAAAGTTAATGTAAAAATGGATCGTTCTATAATTGATGATATATATATTTGTACTAAAATGTTTAATTTTTAATTTTTTTTTAGATCTAATTCAATCATTAATAATGGCTGATGAATAATATTTCCCACAGATAGTTTAACAACTTCAAATTTTTTTCAAAGATATGTACTCTTCAGGTAAACTAATTTTTTTAATAATTTAAATGTGTTGTTTTTGTCTTATCAACATAATAAAATTTCAATTTTAAAATCCCCATAACTTATTTTAAAATAAAGTATAAAATGTCAATGCATGGCCCTAGATAATATTCTAATTTTTTATTCAATAATTGGTCTACTCACTCTAACATTAAAACTAACTAAGTAAAATGGAATAATCTAAAAGAAAAATGTTCTATAATACGCATTTGTAAGACAAAAACAATACACTGGTATATTGCTATCCCTTGAAATGTAATTATTTATGTTTTAAAAAAAAAACATTTTTCCATTTTTATTGTTATACAATTTAAGCAATTTTAAAACAGTTACAACATTTTGTATTGTA